TTGAATTATTGAAAAAGTCTTGAATTGCAAAGCAATTTTCCAGACCTGGAAAAAGTCTGGAAAATGGAGTTGAAGTCTTGAAAAATCGTAAAAAGTGTGAATTTTTTTTCAAAGCCACAACAAGTGCTTCGTAAGTAAAATCTTATCGAAATTTTATCTTATTGAAACTCACCTGTAGCCAAGACATTCAATCACATAATGGGAAGTTTCAGAACTCTCGTATGTCTACATTAGAGCACTATGATTGCAGTTCATCATGAGAAAAGCTTGGTTCCTGCATTTTTCAAGGTCTCTGTTGGTCACCTATATGATAACCGTGAGTCTGGAAAAAAAAAATTATCGTTTTGGAAAAGAGTTTGATTTTGGATCCGAATTTCTATACGAACCCTGTTGTCATCAGACCTTATTTCTTCCGAAAATGTGCAAAATGTGGTACTTTTTTCCATTTTAATTAATAGAACTTAATTAGTGTGTGTTCACAAGCCTTACTGTGGCCCTGCGCGTACGTTTATTCACAGGGTAAGGACATGTGTGAGCTGCGTCGCCATGTTTACGCTAATACTGTAGACCGCTCCACTATTAAGAAGCTAGTTCGTCGAGCCTTTCCTCGTTGTGAGTGCAAGAAGCTGCATCAGCAGCAACAAGAAAGGAATGCAAGCAGATATAACGAGAGTGAATTCCTGGACATTGAGAACGCTTGTGAAGACATGATGGACTCGAATTTGGAGGCAGAGCTGCAAGCTGTTGAGCTACAGTATCAGAAGGCTGTGGAAGATGACGCTTGTAAGAACGGAGAAGAAAACGAACACGAGAGAGTAAAAGAAAGCTCTGATTCAACCATCGAGGCAACTCACTCAGAACAATCTTGTTCAAGTAAAAGCGAAAAAACTTTGTGTCCCGGACTAGAAAGCAAAGCAATTGAAGCCGGTAAAGGTGTCGAGTCGGAGATAAACACAGGAGTCCTGTGCGATCGAAGCTCTGCCCAGGAACCAGTTCAGCGCCTGTGTGGCGGGCACGAGGTTGCCATGGTGATAGAATGCCTAATTCAGGAACTAGACATGCGCGAAGAAAACATCGCCACTTTGCTGTGTTACCTCGAGTTGCATGCACGTCGCTGGCTCGAAGTATTGCAGCCCGTCAAATCCACTTGCGAAGTAAAATTTTATGGTGGACATGCGCAGTTGAGAGCAGTGGCACAGAACGTTCCACCGATAGCAGCAGCTGTATCGCACACCACAGCAACACCTGCCAGTTTTAAGAGATCCAACTCAATAAGTTTCTCGGTGGTGGAGTTAGCAGATAAGATGGGTTGGGATCTTGAGCCAGTGTGCCGCGAGTTAAGGGCCCTGCAATGGAACACGTGTTTATCACGTGACCATAACCTTGCTGACATGGGTCAATCAGGGATCTTGGTTGAGTTCTCTGATTTGTCCTTTCACCTCAGAGCACCCGGTGACCTCTCAGACGAAGAGCGAGACGGTGTGTGTGATTTCCTGGAAGATCGAATACTCGCCGAGGAGCGGAGCCAGTTGCAGCAGCTTCAGTTCGTCTACGACTCGCTCAAGAGTGTTTCCTTTTCCGAATTTTGGCATTGCGCTGACGACGTAGACGAAGAATCTGATAAACAGCTGAAACAAATTGTGCGTAGCTATTTTGAAGATTCCTCCGACAATACGAAGAAGGAGCTCAGAGAGTTGGCAGAAGCGAGAAAGGGCTCCAAAAACATTCGTTCAAATATCACGCCTGATGATCACGTGAACTGGGACATCATTGCTCGTGACATCAGGTCATTGGTAGGCGTTCATCACGATCACTCGTTCACAGGTCGCGCTGTTGCGCGTATATTTCACGGGATCGACAGCCCGTGTTACCCTGCGGAGGTCTGGGGTCGAGACCGTCGGTTTTGGAGAAAACATCTTGATGTAGAATTTAACAGTCTTCGTAAATTCGCCACGCAAGAACTAATCAAATTTAGATAAATTGTTTTGAATGTTAAATTGTTTTCAAGCCTGAACAAGATTTTATAGTCATTTATAGCGTATTAAACAATAAAAATACAGTCTGTTGTTCCTGGTACGTGTAAATTATTCTTGTTAATAAGTTCGGGAGGTGAAAGAGGGTCTTCTAATCAGCAGCTTTATAAGTGCAAAAAACGGGAGTAGGCAAGAGGGAGCCAGCGTACAGGCCTCTTTTCCCCATAAAAAATGTACGGTCCCTAATAATCAAATACCTCGAGGTGGGACTCAAAAAAGTTTTTTCAACACATTTGGGCTCTGGAAACGGGATGACAGACTCGTCGTATTTCATCTGCGGGCTCAGCCAGTCGCTAGCCCAATAATGAGTAGGAATTGATGCCCCACTAGAACGTTCAAATTATAGACGACGGACAATATTTTTAACCAATTTTAATAGAACCAGGATCGGGATAAACAATTACAGACACTAATAGCAGCTAGACTTCTATTTCCCCTCCTCTTCTCTGTTCTTACTGAGAACTCTTTTACTTCTGTGGAGCTGGTACTTCTTCCACCACAATCCGGGACACTGAGTTCCAACCGGAATGAGCGTCTACATTACCGTACCCTGCACAGTTGCCAACGTTGAATCCCACTCGCACCTCTCCCCTGGGGATGTTTTCGCAGTAGCCTTCAATATGGCGCACACGAAGGGGTTGCAGTGCTCTCAGCCCTTGCATGTAAACGATTCCATCAATGGGCATCGGTCCACTGCACTCAGCACCATTGAAAGTAAAAAACCAGCGTTTGCAGCAACGAACGCAGTTAAGGATGCGAAGAGCGCCTGAGAAAAACACCCGCAGGGAGGAACTCTGCTCCTTGCGGAAGACACATTCCTATACATTGCAAATGAAAGAAAACTTTTAATTGTTTCTTTTTTTAAATCCCGGTCTCCTTTCGTAAGGAAATGCATAAACACAATTTGCAAGGCTAGTTCAAATGGGTAGGTATTTTGACGATTGACAGCCCATTCTCGTAAACGACCAACTCTAATTGCGACAACTTTTATGCATTTCTGAAGTGGTCGCTTCCGAGAGCTTTGACTCTATATGTCGAGAAAATAGTCTACTCGTTGCTGAAAATATTTTTCAGTCGTCAAAATCCCCACCGCTTCTCTTCCCCTTAAACACCTTTCTTTCCAGCAAATCAACATGTTATTTTCTTTGCACGTAGTCAAGATGGCCGTTTTCCTGTAAAAAAGAACGAGGTCATTTTCTCAGCAAGCTTGTTCAAGACTGGATTTATCAACTGGCTTCAGTTATTTTTGTTTCTTTTATGCGGGAACGAAGCACGCAAGTCAGTGTCATTTTGCCCTCTAAGAAGGCAAATCACATCGAAGGATAAAATTGCTTCATCTTGCAAGCCTGCAGAGGGCCTCGGCAAGCCATGTTTGGCGCACACAATTCATTAAAAGTTATTTGTAAATCTTACCTTTAGTAGCCCGTTGTCTTCGCGGCGGGACAATTTCGAAACACACTGTTTCCAATTGGAATGACCCTCTGGACCGGTCTCGCCCTTCGATCCTTGTTGTCCTTGATCTCCTTTTTGTCCTTGGGGTCCAGTCTTTCCTCTTTCTCCCTTAGCCCCGTGACGACCGTAAGGACCTGGTAACCCAGGATTTCCTGGGATGCCAGGAACTCCGTTTATGCCTGGGCAGCCCTTAAAACGTGTAACAATATATAGCAATTATTCACTGAAGTGGAGGTGGCTAGTGAGGGATTTTTACCTTGCCGCGAATTTAGTATACACTAAAACTGAGATAATTGAGCACAAAAATGATGATTATTGACTCCTTTATTGCTGCCAAAGATTACAATTTTGGCGCGCAAATGAACGAACGGCCGTCACGTTTTCTTGTCAACGAATAAAACTCTTGAAGGTATAGCTCTTCCGGGGACATTTCTTCTAAGGAGTTGCACATCTTTCTGTATTTGAAACTATACAGTTTAATTTAGTTTTAAGCTTATTTATGAACACGTCAGCTGTAACGCGAGACTTAATTTGTATTTGTAAACAAATGGTATCTAAAGGCCAAGTAAACTAATGCTTTCTTGTTGGTCCCTAGTTCCTATAAATATTTACGTACACAGTAACTAGAATTAACCACTATAATTTAAAGAACCATTAATAAAGCAAATTCTTGAAAGTAACAGAACAAGTACAAACACAGCTAAATAAAGTAAAGGAGGGAAAAAGAAAAAAAACTAGTGAATTAAAAGTAAGGCGGACATGGGAGGAGTGGGTAATAGTAATAATAACCACGCATATAAGCATGACTTACAGAGAAGGGAAAATTAGTCAAAACAGACAAAAACAAAGTTAATTTACATGAATTCGAATCAGTTAGTTACCTTTTGAACCACAGCGCGTGTTAAAGCAAGTAAATTTGCAGCTGACATTAACACAATCAACAGTTTGGCCTTCATTGCTTGTTGTCTTGTCTTCCTGGAAACAGAATGGCCTTATAAGACGCTAATAAATAGATTTATCCAAGCCTAAAGGCGATACTCCTGTTAATCCGTTTATTACCATGGCGATTGAAATGATTATGGACACAAAAAAGCCTGACTCCGTGATTCAATGAAAAATTTTTAACTGATCAATAGATAACTGCAAAAACCTCCTGACCTCATCGAGTACTTGAAGCTGCAATAGGGTCATGTCACTCATGTGATGTAGGTCAGTCGATGCTTCATTTTGACAGTTGTCAAGAGAGAAGAATGATCTAAGAGAGCGAATCCCCCATACATGACCCTCTTCCCATGAAAATTATTTTCAATCTATTCTTGGTTCTGTGTCATACTGCGTGGTTATTTTAAGGACGCCAACTTATTGGTCGGTTAGAGCGGCGTCATGTAATTTTAAACTTGGCGGGTAATTCATTTCACTGCCGATCACGCACAACCTCGTCCCCAGGGCTTTTCCCTCAAAAAATGGGTGGGCCCGCCCCACCCATTTTTTTTGAGGGAAAAGCCCAGGGGACGAGGTTGGATCACGCACAGCAAGCGATATGAAGTGCAATCTTGGTATTACTTTCGCCGACGAGTCAAAAGATTTCTATGTGGAAAAATCTGGCCAGAGTAGCTGCCGAAGCGCAAAACGGTCCTGGCTTGTGGAAGTTCGCCGGAGAAAGCAGTTCCGACTGGACTGAAATTGCTAATTGAGGTCTTCGCTACATCAGTATAAAAACATTGTACAACAACGACGACTGTCTCTTCCGGCGACATCCACGCACATCCGCGATCTGTGATACCGTCGTTCGGATCCAATCTTGAACACGTAAAGAGAAAATAGGTTCAAAATGGGTTCAAACATGAATGTTTGGCCGCCAAACATTTGAATTTTGAGAGGGCGCTAGACAAATGTGGGCACACTGTCTTAAAATCTGGTTTGGCATACACACCCCAAATTTCAAATTATATGTTAGAATAGGGGAGATCATAGTATCAAATATTTTACAGGCGAGAGCTGCTTTTAGTTTGCTAAGATTCGTGTGTCATCTCAAGCTGAAGAGGGCATGAAGAGCTTTCTCCTTGAGATGTTCACGTGACACTGAAAAATTTCCCGATGAGGACATTCGAGTTCCTAAGTAAGTGTACTCTTGTTCAACATCAATTATTTGACTATCTACAAGATTGATTTTGGGATTGATTTTCATTATCCATGAAGTACAGAATGAAGATAGTTTTATCGAGGCAATTTTGTGGTCCTGTTTTGGATCGTGATAAAATGATTAAATCGTCTGCATATAATAGAGAATTAAGTTTTGCACCGTTTTGCAAAACAAAAGGTATTTTCAAATGCGAAAGGGAGGTCGTTAATATAAAGATTAAAAAGAAGTGAATTTAAGATACAGCCTTGCCGCACACCTCTCGCATAACGGAATGATCGCGTTTGTTTTTGGAATAAAACAAAAAAAATCACCTTGAGGCTCAAGTGTTAACACATACTAAATTTCTTTTGTTTTATTCCCCCAAGACCTGGAGCTAAGTACAAATTTTAATATACCAAAGTTGGTCTATTCAAAGAATAAAGGGAGCAAGTTTCAATAATCAGGTGACGTGAGGCGAGAAAATTGCCAAGCAATTGTTAAAAAAGAACCAAATGTTATGAAACAACTGCAGTTTCTTTTTTCTTCCTCTCTCATTCACCGCTACATGCTCGTTTGGCGGCTCTTACGTTTTCTGGTTTTCTTAATAATTAAGTAACATATATAACTGCTTCCAGTCCTAAGATAATTGAGAGAGGAAAGTGAAACCCTAACAACACTCTAGCAAGGGAATTGTACTAATGACCTTAATCATCCAGTGAGAAATAACTGCGAGCAGAACGTGATCTGTAGCAAGTGACTGAGCTGGTATTCGTTGCATATTGGTCTTGAAGTTATTTCCGAGTGTTCGAGTGTTCAGGCTAAAAGCCTGTACTGATAACCGTACAAGAGAAGTAGGATCACTTTTGTTATCAATGAATATTTTATTGTGATATTCAGCTGAAAATTAAACGAGTCAAAATATCGACTGAATTACAGCATATCCTGGGGGTTTCAATAAAAATTGAAGTAGCCAGCAGGTTTGAATAGAGTAACCGACTGCATCAAAAGGGGCATGTTAGCTCATGTTAGTCCCTGAGGGGGAGGGGCGGTGTTGTGACGTGCTTCCCGAGAAAATTTTTAAATTTCAAAGCCCTAAAATGCAATTTTCAGAGTTTTGGGCACTAAATTGAGGACAAAAGGGCGTGTTTTTCATTCAAGAAAATGTCGCATTCATTAAACTTCTGATTGATCAGTCACAATCAATTCCTACAAGGAATGAACAAATGATGAAAACTACATTACGTACTTTTGCACGTTAACAAGTTCTGCGTAAACCTATGAAGAAACCTGTGAAAATTGATTGAAATATAGCGTTTACATGACTAAAGCATAACGTAAAACATGTGAGCCTTTATGAAAACACATCACAATTACGTTTTCGTTTAGATTTTACGATAATTATATTTTTTGTTGATAAAGCTATTCAAACTAGTTCCTTCGTCGTTCCAGAAAAAAGTAGCCAACTTCTTTGAGAAAAGTAACCGACACTTTTTGTCGGCCGTCGGTGCTTATTGAAACCCCTGGACTCACTACTGACTATCATTCATAAAATGCCCAAGAGAACAATTTTGCATTTATGGGTAGAATCTGATGGCATATGCCAGTCTGAATGCACTACGTAGCTCATGTTGTCGCATTACCTGCATAGACACTGAAGATTCTTGCAGAGGGGGGAAATTTTAGGTAGGTAGAAAGTTTTAGCAGTGTGCTCTAGTTGGTTACCCTTCCACCTTACAGGGCTGGAGAATCCTGGATCCTCTATCAGCCACAAAGGTTCTATCAAACTTTATTTCACTACACTTAACTAAAAAAGCAAGACCCCCTTCATATAGCAATAAATAGTAAACATTTAACTCACCAACCTGATTCACTTCAGTGTAGCCTGTACCGCTGAAAGCAGTGAATGGGTCACCAACCGAGCTCTGGTATAGTGCTCAACTGTCTCTAAATTGCATCGTTTACGTGGTTAACGTTGCCAAATAAAAACATGACGGTTTGACACTGAGTCGACCATCTCTCTTACAGCCTCGAATGGTAATCTGTCAGGGGCATCCAACGAGAATATAGTTCAAAACCACTTAAACATAGCATTGTTAAACGTATTTTAGTATTTAAACGGTAGATTATAATATTTTTTACAATTTTGTACACGACCTTAGTGCCGTTTAATTTGGTGAGAGAGAAAACACACATCATAGGATGTAAATAAAAGAAATATATTTCAAAGAAAAATACTTCTAAAGGCATATTTTTATCCCCTAAAAATTTTTATCTGTTCGGATTTCCTAGCTGAAAGCCTCTAGTGATCCAAAAATTATAGGGAACAAAACTTACCTTTTCGAAAATTTCAGCCAGAAAAAAGGCTCCTGAAAATTCTAGGTGACCTTTTTAGGGTAAAAGTCCGTTAAAAATGGGCAATTATACCATTTTTAGATGTTCGAAAATCCTAGGAGAGGCAGGCAAGCAAGAAATTTTACAACAAATGTTTCGAAAATTCTAGATCTCAAATCGTTTCCGAAAAGATATTTTCCGAAAATTGACGTTGGGTGCCCCTGATCTATGTGGAGCTGGATCGACGCTTGAGTATATTTGTGATAAAGGGGCGTCTGGAAAAGCAGGAAACCGGAATCCGGAATAGGAACGGGAATGGGAACAGGAACCGGAACCGGAACCGGAAACGGCAACGGAACAGGAACAGTAATGTGAAGGGGAACCGATACAAGAACAGGGACATCATTTACATTAAATGATTTTAATTCTTATTCCATTTATACAAAAAGTAAGAAAACTAGTCTAGTATCATGCTCCCCCCCAATCTCTTTATATTACGGCATTGAGAAGGTAGAAAAAGCCGCTTTCTGTCAATTTCTTCACCACCTATGCACAACTACGACGTAAATGATCAAATCTTAAGTTCTCTTGAGAACGTGAACGGCAGGCGATAAATTTTATTGTGTCTTTTTGAGCTCGGACGCGGTCTCCAGCTTCATTTCCCAACCTTTAAAAGACTAGACCTTTTGGAATTAATGAGAAATAGTTTGAATTAAGACCCGAATTCAATTTCTCAGTGGCGTTTTCGCTGGTGTTGCCGTTGTCAGTTCTTAAGGTTCCTTTTGTCTCTCACAGGAAGGAGGTTATAACATGTTAATATTATTTGTCAGACCATGTGTAAACGAGACACCCATCGGAGACGTTTCTTGGGTTGCCATACGCTTCGGGTTTGCTACATAGATATATTGTACTGTGCTAAATTGGGAAGTTAACCAGAGATAGATAGTCCACAGCTTAAAAAGGGTATTAACACGTACCTCCTCCCCCTCTCCCTTCCCCCATCCCCATCCCAACGAGCACTTCATGTACCTCAACCGAGTGCAATAGGGACCTTAATAAGCAACCAGAACGCTGACGTCCAGGACATTAAAAATGGAAACTGGAAGTGGATGTTTTCTGTCTTTCGGTGCTCTGACTCAACAAATTCGCACAGTGGAAGGTAAGAGGAAGAATTCAGATTTGTTGTGTGAGACAGAAGCGTTCCATTAAGCGACGGTCAGCGTTCTCGTTGCTTAAGTTCGCTATTATGTTTGACACAAAAACTCAATGTGTCATAGGCTAAAGACAAAGAAAGGCTAATTAGATTAACATTTCAAGGGTGTTTCCGTGTTTCTTTAATTATTTCTCTGGCTTTTAATTTATATCACGATTACATCTTTTTCTTTTCATATTTCTATACACTGTTTATATTCCCCTTCCTATTCCGGTTCCTATTCAATTTTTTCCCTTATTTTTCGTATATAATCTGAATAGGAATTAAATCTAGATTAACTTAAATTAAGG